CACACAACACACACACGCAACACACACGCAACACACACACGCACGCGGGCACACACACACACACACACACACACACACGCACACATAACACACACGCACACATGCACACACACACACACACACACACACGCACACACACACACACACAAACACACACACAAACACACACATGCATGCATGCATGCATGCCCAATAAAAAAGTAAAAAACAGGAGAACGAAAACAAGTTGATAAAGACACACATACCTTGAGGGCTGTTTGTCTTCGGATCAGATCATTCGCCTTCACAAGCACAGCAGTCAGCCAAAGGAATACTAAGAAGCCTGCAGCCACCAGCAATGTCTAACCACATCAGGAAAACATGAATGCACTAGGTATCGAACCTTTACACCATCAAGATACTGATTAGTATGCTCTAATTCACCCAGTTCGAGCCAGTTGAGTAAACAGCAACATTATTTTGGCATCGGGCAAAAAAAAAAAAAAAAAAAAAAACATCAGTTGACATCAAGGCTTGACTGGTTCGCCCGCTTCAACCGGGGCCGGACTGGCCCAAGGGGGGGTGAACCGGAAAACCAGTTTTCACAAAATAACCTCCTTTTTTATTCCTTTCTTTTCTCTTCCTTCTGCGGATTCCAACTGCGCTATTTGCGATCTGTCGAAATCCGCATTAAAACTTTGAAGGCGCGCTTTTTTTTTTCTTGGGTTGGGGGGGGGCGGGGGGGGGGGGGGGGGGGGGGGGGGGGGGGAGGTATTATTGAGGTGGGTTCAGGGAGGTATGACTTTCACGTAGAGGGGTCAAGCAAAGAAGCTTCTTTGTCTGACCCCCTCATGGCCCAACAATTTCAATTCAACTCTATAGGGGGTAGTGGACTTTATAATTAGTAAGAGCCACACCACCGAAGAGGCCGAGTACAAAATACTGATGGGAGATCCTTGCCCAAACTTAACAGTCTTGCATAGTATCGCGCCCGACAGCAGAAAAAAGTTATGTGGTCCGTTGGATCACACATTGCTAAAACGAGGAACAGGGGCCTGTTGGACCCCTCATGGTAAAAAAAACATGCGTTGGTTCTCCACTGCTGATCTGCAAAAATCAGCAGCGGAGATCCTCTGCCCATTTTTTTCAAGAAGTCAGGTCCAAAAAGCCCCCCCCCCCCCCCCCCCCCCCCCCCCCCCTTTTTTTTTAAGGGAGGCAGTGGGCCCCCGGGTTCTGGGCAATTGTGTGGGTGCCCATGACGCTGGGTTGGACCAGGGGCCTGCCGGGCCGGTGGACCGCCCGGCCCGCCCGGCAGGCTCCCGGTCGGGGGAGGGCCCCCCGGTCCATCCGGGGACCCGCACTGGTTGAAATTAGATAGCTGACAAGATCAGAACCGAGAGTAGCCATGCAAACTTCGTGAGCGAAAAGAGGGAGCCATCCGGAGAGGTCTGAAAGCATGCAAACCCATAATGAAAATCTGGCAAGGACAGAGGCAGTACGACAAACGTGCAAGAGCGACCACACAATCCAAACATCCGATATGAATTTACATAACCGTCAGTGAACTGCAGTGCTATCCTCTCTGCAAGACAGAGTCTACTAACCAGAGAGAATGCTTGTAGCCAGGAACACAAGCAAGCAGCTCCATTAGCAACAAGAAGCAATCAGGGTCAAAAGCCGTTCACACAGAATGCACAAAGTCTGCCAAAGACCTCTCTTGTGCATTGGGGAATAGGTATCAAGCACCGAAACGATGAAAGACAATCAATTGTCTAGCATCACTGCAGTGTCCATGGCCAGGCCTCCAGGTTTGGAGGAGGCTCAGCACAAAACACCACAGTCGGATCTGAAATCCACCGGGCTTTCCCCGTCTTGCAAACCCGAGGCACAGCCTGCACGCATGCCAGGAATTTCTCCCAGAGGTATTGTGGTTTAAAGAAGAGGAAAGAGATCTCTCTTGAAAAGAGAGATGGAGGACCTTTCACACATAAATTGAGAAATGGTCCAAATTTTTCGTTAGGGAAAGAAGAAAAAGATGCATAGAGTCTAATAAACTCTGGAAGATGCTTGGAGGCGCCCATTAAGAGCACATGCAAACGGCTGCATGCAACTACTGTCTTCACCCAAATAGAACACCCGGTCATTATCACTGCATTTGGTTCATCTGCCTGTCCAAATAGAAAATACAGTGTAATGACTACCCCTTCTATTCGGGTGAAGACGGCATTCAGAAAGGAAGGTGCCCTCGTGAAGATGTGCACGAGAGCCAATTACTAGTGTGAGAGAGCAGGGAGAGGAGGGGGGGAGTTACAACAACAGGACGAAGAGATGGTGGGTGGCAGCAGCAAGGTAAGGCGAGTTCGCAGACTAGTGAGAGAGCATACCAGCCGCCCCGACAAAGAGGTAAAACACCAATTCAGAAGCCAAACAATGGCCAGATGCTGTGTGCCAGACAGAAGAAAAACTAACAAAAAGGCAAGCCAGAAGCCAAAAAAAAAAAGGCCAGATAATGTGCGGCGGAGGGGAGGGGAAAAAAAAAAAAAAAAAAAAAAACACCGTCCAGGGCAAGGTTTATCAATCAAACATTGCAGAAGTCTTCCAGAAAGAAGGACAAGGCAAAGGTGAAGAATAATAAGACAAGCAGATCAATGAATAGCAACAAACAACAAAGAACGGTAAACTGCCTTGGGGTTTTGGACCAGACCTTGCATATGTTCCCTGATAAACACAGAGAGCAAGAGAATCGTGAAAGGTAGCGATTGCTCTATCCACTTTGCTGCTTGCTGGAGGTCATATCGAGCAGACGAGGTTCCGTCTCTGCCCACTGCCCCTGTGCCGCCATCTTCTGCAGCATCCACCCTTTCACCAGGACTAATAGGCCTCGTTGGCGCAGAGCCCGATGAATTCTGAAGACCCTCTGTTCCACTTGAGCCGCCGCGCATTGGAAGTAAAGGTGTGGAGCTGGAAGTGGCCGCAACCACCCCATCACCTCCTGACCGCAAAAGCCCGCGATCAGGAAATGTTGGGATTCCTATTGAAATGGGGCTTGGTCTTGCAGAGTCCTGCTCTCCCATTCCAATAATGCGAATGGAAACTTCCGTGGGTACTCCATCGCTTACCCGGTCTGCGCCGACGTTCCCCGAGGCCGATCTGTCGCTCGTGCTAGCTTGCCCCTCTGCTTCTCCTCCAGAATGCCACCTCGGGACCAGCCCCGACAGCGCTAAGACCGCTGACAGCGACCCTGGAATGAAGCTTGTAGAGGGAAACGACACTCCGAACTGCCCTTGCTGCGGCACCCCATTTCGACTTCCATCACTCGCGGTTCCTGACGATGGTAAATCCATCCCTCCTTCAGGTTTAGCCTACCCTATATATACACAGTTTGTACCTGAAGGGTATCGTTTCTCTGACGACGAGGCAAGAGGGGCGGCGATTTCCAGAAAGGGTCAACGACTCAGCAATGCAGCTCTCTCCCCACAATTGACTACTTTATACACTCTGCTTCTGCAAAAAGCTCACAGCTAATTTCCTCTACACTTTTCCCACGAGCTGTGTACTACCTATCCACAGCCGCGTCAATTGTGTCACCCAGGATTGCCATCTCCCTACAACTGGGTGAAGAAAATGGAGTCTAACCGCCATAACATCCTTCCACAAACCCTGTGTTAAAGCTCTTCAGAATCCCCTTCAGCAGATGAGCATCAATTTCCGCCACTCCCCGCCAGGTGTAAGAGCACTTTACTCCTCGTTCAACCTGCAAATCATCAACCATTCACGACCCACCAATCGTCAGCTGAACCCACATTCCATAGGTTGCCTCAGGATAGCGAGCGAGCACACGGCAACCCCGACACCACGCGACTGCAAAGGTCCAAACCTGGGCGACTTGTCCCACGAATTAATTTGTCCCATTCCCATCAAATATACATGGTGTGAAACTCTTTAACTCCATACAGATTTAATGACCATCACACATTCAGGACCTCAGTTGAACCTGGCTCTCATTTGCTTAACAAATGGAAAAAGAAAAAAAAAGGCCGGGCAGCAGCCTTCGGGTACCATCGTCGAGATGACCAGCCCCAGGTAGTTCCAGAATTTCATCGATCTAGTTCCATATGGATTCCAACTCGGGGTCTGTGTTGGAACAACACTTCGTGGGTGTACCAGCTCATCTAGGCCCGTTGGTCTGGCTCTCGTTTTCTATTGCCAAGGCCCCTCTTCCTTCAAAGGATGTGCACAGCACAAGAACTCCATGCTCACAGCTTCACAAGACCTGAAGTCCTCCCAACTCAAGCAAGCGACATCACATCTCCCTCTGTCAAAACCTTACGGCGAGATTCCGTTACATCTGCAATTGTTTTCATAACTTACTACTTAAACCACCAGTACTTGGCCCAGCTATCGGCCGCGGAAAAAAATAGAGTAGAAACGTTTCTAGTTGGATGAATTTGGGCGCTCCTGTAGTGGCCCGTACGTTTCCTAAAATCGCGTAGCGTTAACGGGCACGACTTTAGGAAGTACTGGTGGTTTAATAATAATGACGTTAAAAGAAAAAGGAATCACTGTGCGAAAACAGAATAACTGTCCCAGAAAGGAAAAACGTACCGCAGACACCACCAACATGATATCTGCTTTGGACGTATTCCAAAGGTGTCCTATCATCACTGGCATTGTTGATGCAGTTACTCTACAAAAGGAAGAGCCACCGGCAAGCAAAACAGTGCTGATAGCACAGCGCACAACGGCCTTTACCATTTTGTTCCATGCGACACTCCCTCTGCGCACCCTAACTAATGCACATGACTCACAAACACCCTGCCTACACACGACTCAGACTACGTAGCCTGACAGCTCACACAGAACAACCCACCTTATGCACTGTGCACCCTTTCTAATGCAGGTGTGATAGTGATAAGCTTACAGGGACCTACCGTCTTCCCCGGAACACAACGCACACCCTTATTTTGGCTGTACCTGGCCGGAAATATAGCTTGTATACGTTCATTTTTAGGGTGCCCTATTTTCGGGGGAAGAGGGTAGGACGCCAAAGATGGGGCACTGTAGACAATTCAACTGCGGCCAGCCCACAGGGAAGATCGTCTCTTGGGAGTCACAAGTGGGTTTACGGGAGCCCCAATTTCAGCTCCTGAGTAACGGGTCAAAAACTGAAATTAGGGTTTGGGGGGGGAAATTTTATGCTTTTTGAGTGTTTTTTTTTTTTTTTTTTGGCTGTTTTTTCTTTCGGTTCAAGGTTGCTGTGTGTCAAATTTGACATCATAGGCATCCAGAGGCCTAAAGTAAGCCTCCTCTCTCGGACGCAGAGAGCAGCAGCAAACTGCACCACTTTCTGTCTTTCGACACACACCACAGTACACCGCATGCTACGCACCGCGGTTACTCCTCCTCACCCACAGCCATTCATGGACTTGCCACACATGTCCACACAAAGTGATGATGTCCTTGCGGTGTTATGAACAACTGCGTTGATTGACCATTCATGGACCTGCAGACCCACAGTCAAGGATTGTTGCCTACAAAGGCCTTGCTAATTCCATCAGTTCAAGCACCAGTACCGCGGAGGGTATATTTGGTACAAAGTGGCCCCGACGGGATCTCCCCGAAAGACAGAAAAAGAACCTATTGGATTTCCGACCCAGAGTGATTAGTCCCACAGTGCCTTGTAAGAGCCAGGAGGACGCTCCATAGGCCGCACATCTTCGATGCGGAGCTTCCTGGCTCCAGAACACACGGCCACCTGCAGTTAGCAGTGGTTTCATGATTAGCTCTACCTTCCCTCTCTCCCCTCCTTTCCAGCTGACAGGGGTTGAGTTAGACAGCGAGAGAAAAAGAGAGAGAGAGAGACAGAGAGAGAGAGAGAGAGACAAATACAAAGACAGAGAGAGAGAGAGAGAGAGAGAGAGAATTTCGTGAGATAGAGCGGCTAGAGGATCGAGTACTTGCACTGTGCTCTTCTTCCACTAGGATGTGACACCATGCCACCAGATGAACCGGCATCAAAACTGTGGTGTCCACAGAACCGTAGATGTGCTTTCCTGATCATCCATATAATCTAGTGGAAAGAAGGTTGCCATATCGCTGTCTGCCTACGTCAAGGCGCAAGTTCACTATAGCCAACTGGAGAGTACACAGACGGAAATAACAGGAGAGAGAGTGGGGATGAGAGAGAAATAAAGATGGAAAACAAACGCAGAGAGAACGGCGAGAAAGAGAGAGGAAAGAGAGAGGAAAGAGAGAGGAAAGAGAGAGGAAAGAGAGAAGGAAAGAGAGAAGGAAAAAAAAAAAAAAAAAAAAGAAACAGACAAGACGGAAAGAGCCAAGAAGACCGAAACAAAGAGAGATAGAAGCTGGAAGACCTGCACTAGTTCTTCCCTACTGCTGCTGCAGCTGCTGCTGCTGCTGTTGTTGTTCCTCCTCCTCCTCCTCCTCCTCCTTCTTACTCCACTTGTTTTCGCCTCAGATAGCACAGATCGGCCAGTAGACCTTCTTCAGTCTAGGGCCTCCAAGCAGTGCGAATCCCCCCAACTATGCAGCCTCGAAAAGTGCACAGCCTCACTGAAGAAGGGGATTACCAACCACTGTAACCCCTACGGATCCCGCTACAACCGCTCGTCACAAGGCCGGTCTCTTTCCCTCCTGTTGCTCGAGTCCTGTCTTTGCATGTGTCTCTTCCCTCTGCTATGTGGACTTGTCCCTGCTTGCTATGATTGGTTAATGGTTGTTATCACCGGTCTCTTTCCCTTGTCATTTCACTCGACTCCCTCCATCACTACGTGTGCTACTGTCTTCTTCCTATCCATTCGAATGTGGGTTCATTACATCTGCATTTGTCCAAGATGGCAGATAGATACAAACATGACCTCCAGGATGGCAGATACAAACATGATGACAACCTGTTCTATACAAACATGATCTCCAAGATGGCAGATACAAACATGATGACACCCTGTTCTATACAAACATGACCTCCAGGATGGCAGATACAAACATGATGACACCCTGTTCAATACAAACATGACCTCCAGGATGGCAGATACAAACATGATGACACCCTGTTCTATACAGGGGAAAACAGAGGTCACGCCTCTCTTTTGCCTTTTCCGGACTTCGAGATGTCATGCTAAACACACTTACTCAGTTAGACAAAATAATGGATGGACAGATCAACGCACTTCAAGACGTTATGTTGAATTCACTTCCTCAGTCAGACAAATAAAGAGCAGGTCGCTACGCACTGTTTACACTCCCCTGAGGACGACGACTGCCTTGGTGCTACCGTCTTCCCCCCAACATAACGCACCCCGATAATGAACGTATGCAAGCTATCGTTCCGGTCCGGTACAGCCATAATGGGGCTGCGTTGTGTTCGGGGGAAGACGGTAGTAGAGTTTCAAAGACTTGGATACATCGTTTTCCAGCTGCCCGCCACGTGGACCCGACATTCAGCACCTTCCTCCACGACCAGTAAGTATCCGTTGTGTCACATAAGTGCGGCATATATATTGTGTAAAAAAAAAAAACAGCTTCCCATTTAACAACAAAATGGCAGCCAATAAACGACGTCTCTCCGGAGTCCTCCAAAATCGGAGATCAGCACGACACCTTCTTTTTTTTTTTTTTTTTTTTTAATCAGCACGACACCTTAGGCTACTTAACGATCACAAAATTCGATATCAGAGCCGACAAAAAATTAAGAGCATAATTGCAGCATATTGTGTAAAACCCAGCTTCCCATTTAACAACAAATGGCAGCCATTCAACGACGTCTCTCCCGAGTCCTTCGAGATCGGGGGTCAGCAGGATACCTTGGCTACTTAACGACCACACGATCCGACATCAGAGCCGACAAAAAATTAAGAGCATACTCACAGTAGAACTTTCCTGGATGTATCGCACCACAATTACAGGCGGACCTGGATGTATCCGACCTCAATTACGTCCAGAAATCAGTAGAAAAATCACAGTGCGAGTATGGAAAGCCTCATGTCGCACATCAATCAAACTAACTGCCTCTGTATACCAGCATTCATCACATTCTTGTTTTCCAGAGCTTTGGGTAGTTTGGTTGTTCGTTCGTGAGTGCTACCATGAATGAGTGCTAATAATTGACTCTGAGCGGTTGACCCTTCTTGCTAATAATTTCGAGTGCTATGGTTCCAGTAATTATGACCCTTGTTATATCTTTTCTGGTCCCGCGGCCCGACCCTGAGTGCTACCGTGCCGTCACATAAGAGAAACCGTACTACAGGCGGGAGAAAGACCAGGATCAGGTAATCTCATTCGATAAGCAGTGATCTGCGGCAAATAAACTGCGCCCCTCGCCTTTCACTTCCACCGGCCGATCAGAAGAACGCCATCAGCTCTCTCTCTCTCCCTCTCTCTCTCTCTCTCTCTCTCTCTCTCTCTCTCTCTCTCTCTCTCTCTCTCTCTCTATTTATCTCTCCATCTTCCACAAACGCATACACACACATACCTCTTTCCCTCACACGCACACCATCGCACATATGTCTCTGTCAGACTCAAATACACGTACAGATGAACCGAGGAGCTCTCCCATTCTCTCTCTCTCTAACGTCTTGTCTCGTACTCCCTCAATGCTTGCTCACTACTTCAACGTTCACAGCTGAGGCGTAGGCAGCGATTCGTAACAGTCGGGACAAAAATAAGGCCAGGACATCCAAGTCGGAAACCTCAAGGCGTGCATTACAATCGGCTGAATCACAGCGTCCTTGCCAA